AGGGTCTGGAACCAACTTCCAAGGGAGGTGGTGCAGGCTCCTACCCTGGGGGTTTTTAAGAGGAGGTTAGATGAACACCTTGCTGGGGTCATTTGACCCCAGTACTCTTTCCTGCCATGGCAGGGGGTCGGACTGGATGATCTTCTCAGGTCCCTTCTGACCCTAGAAACTATGAAAATAAGACTGACATCTAGCTCCCATAAATCAGTATCTTAAGGTATTGTAGTAGTGTTTTCTCTATTGTTGGTCTCTTGCCATAGTGAACATTTGAAATCCATTGGTAGATGCACTTGACTTTGTAAAGCATTCGTTATCATTCATAAAGATATAGTGTAACCATTTAATGCATGTATTGCATGTAACTTAGAATTGCTTTTCATAAGCTTGCTGTACAAAGAGAAATACATATTTTGAATGTGCAGGGTATTAAATGCATTGGAGACAAATGCCATCTCAATCTATTCCAATTTCTTGTGTTAATGTGAGGAAATAGTGCAGTCCTGTTCAATCCTGTCTCTCTTCTGTGTGGTAGTGATTCCTAGATAAACTAATTGCCCCCTTTTTTTTTTTTTTTTTTTGGTATCAAACAAGTGTCTGCTAGAGAATTAGGTTGTGGTCATCGCATGCTTTTGACTTGCACAGTACTCATCTGAATAGAATGTAGTGCAAATAATTTGACAAATATGGCAGTGGGTGCAAATTTACCTTGCTTCAAAAAATGATTCTCTGTATGTCTTCTAGTAGGCCAAGTGATTGTCTGGAAAAAGTATTGTTCTGAACTTCAAAAAAAAAAAAAAAAATAGGATGATCTTTCTGTATCCTTCCCCTAGATCTTGAGAAAAAGCAAAGATGATAACGTCTTGCTCTGACAATATGCAGGGCAGGACAGGATGCTTAGTCTCTCCTGTGAGGATTCCTGGAGAAGTGGTAAAGAATGGAGACTTGACAGATATAGGCTTGTAGCCTGTAACCTGAGATGGGCTGAGCCTGTGAAAGACTGGGGAGCCAAAGACCATACCTGGGTCTTTACATTTTTGATGCTGTAGCACACTGCCCTCATTAGTTCCATTCCTGCTTTTTGGAGTGTCCTGAAGAGGTTGCAGGGAGCTTGGAACTTTTGTGGGCTAATTTGTTATGGCTCATACAGAGAGGCTGCATATCAGGTACAATTCCAACACTGCCAGTCTTGGAGAACGTGAAAGGTTATTTAAAAGTACAGACAAGAAGCTTAAAGATTCTTGTAGGCTGACCAGCCTCTCTCAAAATCTTCAGTTTTAAATTTGCATGAAAAAAAGGACCTTGGTTTATTTTGTATCTTTATTTTACCCCAGTTTGAAATCTTAATCTCTCTTGTTACTAACTACAGAGAGGATATTTTAAGAAGGTGTTTATGTACAATTATTCTTTAATTTTAAAAGGTGGGGGCAGAGGATGGGGGGAAGCAGAGGGGAACAAGTACAACAAAAACTCAATATACCAACAGAACTTGCTTTGGTATACACGGGCTTTTGTTCTCAATCCCCGTTAATTACAGTGTAGTATTTAAAAAGCCTGGCATAATAATTGTTCTGTTAGAATTCTGTCTTTATAACGCAGGTCCTAGTACAAGCAAGTAATCCCATTATTAAGCAGTTATTGTTCCTTCCATGATGATGGTTCTTAATATGTCCATTACCATCAAGACAATCAGTTTGCACCAGGAAGTTAAGTGGCTAGATTTTAATTATGGCATTTTGTTAGTTACTCCTAAAGTGAATAGACTTAATATGGCATGAAGACTTTTTGAACTTGGTAATCAAAAGAAACTTCAATGAACAGAATAGTAATGTTTTGTAACATGCAAAGTAAGATTCTTTACACTGTTTTTTGGAGAGAAGCAGCCTTTGTCAAGGCATTAAGCCCAGACTGTTAACTCTGAAAAGTGGTACCACCTGTGCTGTTGTTGTCTTTATCTGGGAAAAAAAACTGTTTTCAAATGCACTGCTGGTGCCAGCACCCACCCTTGGGAGCTATGACAAAAGTACACAGAAGACAACTGACTTCCATTGTCCCTTAGTTTCTAAAGCTGTTTCTGCACGATTTTGGAAAAGGAATGGTAGACACAGTGAGAATTCATGCAGTATTCATCCCCAACCTATGCTAAGGATAGTGGTTTGTATTATGGCTGAACCTAAATGCCTCTGCTGGGATCAAGGCCCCTCTGTGTTGTACACAGATAACATATATTACCTAAAACAACCAATTCGTGTCATTTCAAGACCCAAAAACTTAGTGTAACAAACTATAGGAGGAAAGAGATTATGAAGATGGGGAAAACATTACTAAACACAGTTTAATGTGATGAATTATTTAAAATGTCCCATGAATCTATTTTTTTTATTTGGAGCCCCCAAATGCTACCATAGTAGTATTGAAACTGTGATTTTTATTGTGCTAGACAGTATATAAATAGATGGACTAGCATAAAAAAAATGTCCACAGCCTCACTTACAGTGTAGCTTCTGCTGATGATACCAATGGCAGAGCTGCAGTGTAGTTAAATAACAGTTATGAAATATAGTAGAAAGAACATAGCCAAATATACTTTATAAAGCATTAATGGTATTTTTCTAGCTTGTTTTGGCACTTGTATATTTTTCAGTGCTGGTATGGCAGGAACAGTTTCTGGAAAACACTTCCAGCAGTTCGGTTTCCTAAGGTGAGACCAAAGTGATCTCCTGTCCAAAAAATAGAAACTCACGTTCAAACTACCGGTCTTGTCTGACTGGTGGAAACTACCGTCTTCCAGTAGCCAAAACTATTCTTATCTGTCCAGTTAAACCAACTGAAAGAAATTTAAAATAAAACATAAGAATAGTTCCAGCCTTTGCTTATCTCTGATTCCATACAGGTTTAAAACTGGTCCTGTTGTATTACTTAAAAATGGTCTGAACTTGTCTATGCTGGGAAAATACTAAAGGCCCTTAAGATGAGCAAAAAGTAAATTCCCTTACTGCGATGTCGTGTGCCTTGCCTCTTTTCCAGATGCACAGACTTGTTACTGTTGAACAAGAAAGTATTCTGCATTTTTTGCAGAGGGCATCCAAACAGTCGTTCATGGCCTGCTGCACTTGTCAAAGTTGCACATGGCCCTCAAGGAGACTGCAGGGAAGGAGGAAATACTCTTACACTTCTCTTTCAAAATGACTTATTAATCTTGATCACAAGATGATAATCACTAGTACTTCCTAGTTAACTACTGATGAAAATAAATAGATAAAATCACATGTTGTTAAAATCACATATTTTAACTAATTACTAATAAGGACTCTATAGACTTATGCTTTTGCTTGCCTGTGTCAGTGAAGTACTCTTTATATTGCTTGTCTCATGATATAACTTTCAGTGGCTTTTTAATGCTGTGTAATTTTGTGTTACACCTCTTAAATAATTGCCCATGAACCATTCATAGAAAAAAATTATCTTTGTGGAGTACATGATATATTGGAAACAAAGGGATCAGATCCACAGTCCACTGAGTCAATGGAAAGACATGCTTTGATTCAGAAGGCTTTAGACCAGGTCCAGTGCCAAACCTGAGGAGCCTTGGTACATTTGTGCACGTAGTGTTCATAATTACATACAGTCTTAATGTTAAGGTTTGTGTAGTATACTTGTTAAAATAAATGTGTAAATGAATTGGAAAAGTTTCCAAGAAAAAAACAAGTTCTTGGCTTTCAAAATGTAATTTTGTCTTTAAATTTCTAGCTCACTTCTCATGCTGCAGAAGAAAACCATCCTAACCAGCTCAGAGAAGATTCAGTGGCCACTTTTGCAGATGTGAGATGGGTTGTTCAAGAAGAAGGTGAAGTCTCTACAAAACTCAGGTGTGTTCCTCAAGTCAGTATAAAAATAGGCTCCCTTTGAATCATAGCATCTCGTTCTAGTGAAGTTATCTAGCATATTTAACTGAATTCTCTTGTGAATAGTATAGGGAACTAGGAGAGAAAAAATGGAAGGCAGGTTAACAGGATGATGAATAGAAATGGGACTTGGGTCTACAGAAAGAGATTAATGCTGTTTTTCAGTAGAAAAATTTAGTGTTGTAGACACCTACAACATTATCCCTACAGTGATACAGAATCACTTCCAACACTGTCATAATTTAACTTCCTTTAAGCAGTTTACCATTTTGGGGCCACGCATTGGACAACTGCATGCTAAAGACAGGCACGGTTCTTTGAGTAGATGATATAGCTTCTGTTACTACCAACTAAGTAGTTGGGGGAAAGGTTCTTGGCAAGCTTTCAGGCGCAATCGCCCTTTGTCAGGCATAGGGAGTCTCTGCTGTTCTGAGACTCCGAGAAATGAGAGAAGCTAAACGTGTGTCAGGATGTCAGTGAAACTGCCTGAAGAAGGGTGATGGCACCTGAAAGATTGCACAGAACCTTGCCTGCCTATGATCTTGGCTACAACCAAAACCCAAGCACGGTAAAGAAGCACTAGTATTTCAGCTGTGGTATTGGTGGTTCTGACAATACAACAATATTTAACATGGCTCTGGTCTCTCTGGTTAAGGCTCTGTACTTCAGAGCAGAAACGTATAAAAACCAAAGGTTTGCTTTTAGTACTTAATTTTTAAAGGCACAGAATTAGGCAGGGCAGTGAATGGGAAATAATTATAGGCACACTATTTCTCTGCAGGGAGTTTTCTATGTTGTTAGAGCTTGCAGAGATCCTGTCCTGCTAGTTCAGCTACAATGGCACAGTTTAGCACAGAAGGCATAGACTAAATAAGAGATGCATAAGTTTGGTGCAGACAAGGCTTCCAGTTCCCTTAAGAAGCCACCTCTAATTCTTGGTAGAGTGGATGACAGAGATAGTTAGCTTTGTTCTCTGGAGAACACTACTGCTGCTCTTTTTGAAAGCATGACATAAGTTAGTGATGACCTAAATACCCTCCAATATAACTTGCTACAGTAAAACGTTTCATAACAGGAATGTGTCTGAAATCCAATCCACTGTTAATCTTGTTAACTGAAAATAGAGAGGGAGAAATCAGCAACTTCTGGAGCGATAACCCCAGTAAATGCATTCAACACAAGGAATTGGCTTGCATTTTTGCTGGCCTGAAAATATTCTTTTTGAGTTATGGTCCAAAAGAGGAGAGTAGTTTGCTGCTGCTGCTTAAAGAATCACCTGCCAAATTGCTGCAAGACTTGTGTTAATATCTCTGTGGAAGGGAACTTGCTAAGAAACAGCCTGGAAACATGTGGCCTCAAACTCAAAGACCAATGTTATGAAGGCAACAATGTTTATTAATTGGCAAAACAAATTTCGGATCCTGTCTCTTTCTCTGTACAAAACATTGTTTTAATTGTACTTGCAGCAGTAGAAACTTTTCCAAACACTCAGTGAGGACAATCTCTCATTCAAGAGGCTTGTATAAATAAGACATTTATTAACAATAATATTAATATGTTACAAAAGGAAAATAAGTCTGCATAAGGGAGTATTTTTGTATGGAAAAACACTTTTTCAAAGGATGAGTTCTCATTTTGACAGTGTAGAAAAAGCTGATTTATTGACATCTATGCAGCAAGTAAACTACAAATCATTTTTCCCCCTATACACTGTTAAAGCAATAGAATTGCGTTTCAGGCATGGTCTTCTACAGTGGTAAATTCCAAATGTGCTGTATACATTCCAATAAATTTGTTGTGCATCGAAGCAACTATAGTTTTAAATCAAATCCCCTTCAGAGTAGTATTTAAATAATTACTTGCTAAAACAATGGATTCACATAAATTTAAGACTTCCAGTCATGACTCTACTCCAGGGGTAGGCAACGTTTTTTGGCCAGAGTGCCAAAAAA